TTTTTTTTATTTTGGACAAAATTCGTGGACAAAAAATACGTTGTATAAAAAATTATACGCTGCTGTTTACGTAATAATACATAAACATCTTTCTATATATATATATACAATATTCACGATATAAACAGTGAATTCTGACGAAACTCGAAAAATTGGTTCGTCGACAAGCATAATATAATAGTGGCCATTGGCCAATGAGATTCTACCAAATATTAATGAAATGACGTTGTGAGGTGACTTGTCCCGATCAATCGTTTTATTCGTTTTGGTATACGTAGGTATTCGTTTTACTAGAACTTATTGTTATTATGCGTACCAAGGTACAATATATCCAACACGCCTTTACAAATTACAACGTCGCAATATAATTTAATACATTTTATTTTAGTATTAAATAATTGGATTCTTGAATGTGCTACACTACATACACCTATACTCTGTCCAGCAAGAGAACGCGCCAATACTGCGCATCGCACCTAGTCACCTTGCTAATTAGGTACTATCGAAACCGATTCCCCTATGGCAGGATGCGCAGAAAAACAGATTTTGGTCAGTTCTCTCGCTGGACAGAATATACGTGTTGTTTTGTGTGTAATCACTAATCAGCTATCAATTGCTGTATTTATGATTATGATGTATGATAATTTGAAAAAAAATTAATCTCTAATTATTATTATTTATTACCTAATTGTATTAGGTATATTTACGCGTTTATGCTCACTAATTTTTGTTTACGTTATTGTCGTTATTAAACAATTAGTAATAAGAGCTACTTATGTAAAATTGTCCATTATGCAGAGAAGACTCAATTTAATTCTCCATAAATACAATACTATATATTTTAATTTTTTACTTAAGTTTTACCTTATAATCATATATCATAATCGTATCGGCTGTATGCAGGTAAAATATTGAACTAGGTAATAAATACTATAGTATACACCATCATTGTATTAGAATACAGCACAATGCCACGTGCACACTTTTTGTCGAAATAATGGTAAAATAAAAACATTGATTTTGCGTAATCGTACACCGCAGGTTACCCCTACCCTCTCTCTCTTTCTCTTTATCTATCTCCATACCTCTCTTACTCTTACCCTCTCTCACTCTCACTGTTTCTCTCTCACCTATGTATTTAAAGTGCATATTATAAAGTGTCCGCTTGAACATTTTACCCAAGTCGTCGACGTGACAAATAATAAATGGCTGCGCTCCGCACCGTTCGTATTGGCCGGTCTGCGTATTGGGTCATTAAGCGGACGCTATTGGACAAACATCGCGTAAACGGTAAAATCGGTCGAAGTCGAAGAACTTAGACTTTTGGAATCTTCTCAACCGACTGAAAGGTTTCTCCTTTTACCTATACGTTCCTCCCATAAAATTACGATAGCTGCGTAGACTGTGGAATTTCTCGATTTTTACGCGAAACTCGTGAAATCTAAATAATGACATTTAATTAATTTACCTCCCTTCACACCTCCTTCCTTTTTTTAATAAGCACGCAAAAAACTTATCGAGACAAATATTTTTTATAACATTTCAAGATTGACAGTTACATACTGGTGCAGCATGGCAATCGAGAACACGGCGATTACGAAACAATTTCGATCTCGTCGAATAATAATCAACCGCTATATTATTATAATATAGGTAGGTACATGTAGCAGCATTAGTTAAACGCGTATAACTGTACATGTTTTCGTACCATATAGGTACTAAAAAACACTAAATTTGTTTAAAAAGATAAGGTCTTATTTTTCGTGACTTCGATACAGAATACTGCGTCTGTGTATAACGAATAGTTTTTATACAAACGGAATTTAGTTTCGTAAAATGTAGTCAATTTTCATTTTTCGGCGTTCAACTTTACTCACAAGGAATAATATAATATAATATAGACACTTTTATTGAATAATCAACCGAAAATATTTGGAACCATAATTTACATAATATATCAAAATCTATTTTTCGTTACTTATTTTTATTGTAATACTTCAGTTAGTTATACTGGAGTCTGTTGCAACAGTCGGATACTCTGATCATATAGTATCATGGCACTCTATATAACTACAGTAGTTCGTATTCGTGACAGACATGTTATAAGGATGTATTTTATCGACTTATTGTAATTTTAATTTCTCTACGGGGCAACAATTTATAATAAATTTATCTATATAATGAAAATATATTTTGTGTTCTGGATGTATTATACGTTAAATATTTATTATTTTGAATAATAATTTATCATTGCATTGTCCTTAGCTTGTTTTTGATATTTTTAAACTGTATACGTTTTCCACAGAAAATATCAATAATATAGAATTAAATACCCACCTAGGCACCTAATAACGTTTTTGCATATTGTACATATACTACTTGTACGAGAGCAGGGCCGTAACTAGAGATGAATGGGCCAAGGTAAGAGTTAAATTTTGGGCCCTTTATTTCAAACCTTTATGTCTAAAAAGAGCCCTTAAATTTAATACTGAGCCTATTGGGGGGGTGTACTGCACCCCTAGTACCCTCGTTTATTTCAGCGCTACACCAGAACGTATTATTGCCCATTTTTTCATATTATTTAATTTTTTTTATATTTCATATCCATTCCAATTTTTGATGCACGCGGTACTCAATAGTAACAATATCGCGGGGACAGTGTCATTATATTATTTAGAACGAATGCGAACGCTTTGTCTACGGGTATTTATGCAATATTAATGAGATGCCAATAGTATACGTACCTATATACCTATAATAACAGTCTGTACGGCGGTAGGTACAGACAAATAATAATGAAATAATTTGACACGCTTAACAATGGTAGAGGTTAATTTAACTGATAAGAAAGTAGTTTTCGGTATAGACCGCGTAGTATAATATTATATCGGAGGCCCCATCGGTAATAGGACGTTAGGTAGGTATATATTATAATATATATATTATAAAGTAACCATATATGCATATATATATATATATATATATACATATATGTATACTATACGTAAATTATAATACACATACTGACTGTAATAGTACTCGTTGCATATAAAATATATTATCGGTTTTTAATAGAACGTTGTTCAGGATATAATATAACGTGCGTTGTTACTCGTATAATATTATTATCCCCAATGTTGTTATATAAGCTAAATTATTGCACGTGACTCATAATTTTTTTAAACATTAAATCACGCTTAACAATGCGTCTGTAATAGTGGAGTTATACTAAAAACATTTCGAAAGTCGCTCTTGTTTAGTTGTATATAAATATACTTACTTATTACTTATTTCTATCTCGTCTAAATATTGATTGATCTACAGCTCATCGGATTTCAAAATTATAAATAAACAATAAATAATTATCAAAAACCTAATGATGAAATCGCTTTACGTCAACTCGCGCCTTCTGACATTTTCACTGCGTTATTCCAGGGTATATACTGTAACATAGTGACTATATGATATTATGTGTGCGGTTTGCGGCGTGTCTGCGTTTATCGTTGCACTTTTACAATATATAGGTAGGTTCGTTTTAACATCAACGACATCAACTTACTTATTAATAGCGGGTTACCTCGTTTTTTAGTAGAAGTTCAATGCAAGTACATCCTTAACATTCAGATTTTTGTTTATTATTTACTTGTACATCAATAGCCAAATCAATACTCATCGTATCGTACTGAATTCACCATGACCATGAAAACGTTATGTTGTATAATGTATAGTGCACATTGTATATAGTTTATATTATATTATTATGTTTGACGCTTAAACTTGTTTTAAAAATGTCAGGGAAATAATATTATATAGTCTATATAAATGTAGCCATTTATTATTGTCTGGTTACAGCATTCGACTCACATTGACAGTATCATATTACTATGCAAATGATGATTAAAAAAATTAATTGATACCTGGATTATATTAATTATTATATTACTTTCGTGATATTGTATAATATAATATTCTAACATAATATTTTACGTACAGACTACAGACACTATTTTGTCAAATGACAAATAAAATACGTCTAAATCGCGTACCTTTAAACGTACCTATAAACTATGTGGAACGGATTTAGTAGAGAGCATAATAATATTATATAGTATCATGCGTCATTTGACAGATTAGTGATTAATTAGTACTACAAAAAGAGTGTGTGTCGAAAACGCTAGAAAATATTTTATACGTCGTCAAAAATCACAACATTGCAGGTCCTTTTAACCTAATCAAAATATTTTCTAATACACTGCATTCGCTAAATAATATATTGATATATAATTGTGTCATATATAAATATACATTCGTCCATTTCTATATTATGATATAGTCGATTATTGTCTGCTCACATTTCATAGTTCGCTTACAAAAAAAGAAGAGGTAGGTACAATTATACCGGTTACAATTTCTTTTACCTATTCACTTTCGCTTATATTAAGTAAATACAAGTAACTTACATTTCAAAGATTCTTAGTCATATAATGGAATAACTAAATTTGGGAATGTGTGTACATTTTAGCAGGTACCTACTAATACATTTTTATTTTAAGTTTATTAATGTTCTTTTAAACGGTGATAAATATTTTTAATTGATCATCCAGATGCACATTTTTTTTTTTTAACATTTTAGAAGTTTATTTTGTTTTCAATATTAAATTTAAATTTAAATTTAAAAAATAACAAAAACCGAAGTTATTAAATATTAATCACAGTCTTGGAAAAGTACAGTACCCATATAGTTTTTCCGAAATCATAGCTTGAATACGAATATATTGGTACGATGGCTCAAACAACAATCACTTCAACTATGCTAGTATATGCTTATTGTTATTGAAATATCGATTGGTATTCATTGACACTTGACAGCACCTGCATAGTATAATCTATCTATAGTTATTTAAATAGCTAAAATAGCTTTTTAATTAATGTATAAGTTTATGACCAAAAAATCTGCAATCAAAAATCTGACAGTATTTAAGGGTTTCTTTTTGTTTCAGGATAACCGAAGATTTTAAGTTACAAACCCATGGTTTGGACTCTCCGCACCACCAGGGGTTGTACGGGGGTTTAGGTCACTCACCCACTTCCGGTTCGCCTTGCTCTGTGTACGCATACCAACCGTACCATCGAAACTACGGCGCCGGCCAGTTCCATCAGTCAACGGCCGCCGAAATCCAACAGCAGCAGCAGCAGATACCAGTGACCCAAATGGTGGTACCACCTTCGCTATCGGCGCAAAAGTCTTCGGACGACGCGGCAGCGGCTTGTTGGCTGCAGCATAATGGCGGTGGATCGGCTTTCGAACACCACCTGCACCACCAACAACAGCTGTCATCAGCTTACCAGTCGCACCACCAGCAGCGGCAACAAGATAACAACGGCATGACTGGAGGCAGTCAACAGCAGCAGCAGCAGCAACAACAGACGGCCAAGATGACACAGCAACAGCAACAGAAGGCTGTCAAGGAGCAACGAATCCGGAGACCCATGAACGCGTTCATGGTATGGGCGAAGGTGGAGCGAAAAAAATTGGCTGACGAAAATCCCGACTTGCACAACGCTGACCTCAGCAAGATGCTCGGTGAGTACCTTAAAATTAATAATTATATATGTTAATTTAAGTTATTAAGGGGTGGTTTGTAAAATAATATGATTCATTAGTATATACCGTTCAAAGTTATCTTGAGTGGCTCTGAAGTTGTAAAGCTATACTGTTGACCCAAAACATGTTTATTGACTTTAGAGACCACTATTGACCCATACACCTAATGCCCAAAATTATTACAGAGTCGTGCATTTAGCTATACATTTCATACTGACACTGACTACATATATGTAATATTAATAGAAGTAATATTTATTATGTCTTATGGCCGTTCGCCATGGCGCAATCTAATGAATGGTCATAGTAATATTATTATTCTATTTTTATATTTAATATATAAATTATTTTATACTTTAAATTCTTTACGGATACTCCGTTAGAGTTAAGTTAATGAGTCAGTAAAATAAAATTATAATAGTTAATAAATAATTTAGTACACATCTTACTATTTTTGCGAAACCTTGTCGGATATTAACTAGTTAAGCATCTTACTTCGAGTGGTTTATTTCGGAGTGTTTTTTATTTTGTCTTTTGAACTATGTATTAGAAATATTTATATATATGTAATATGTATATATATCATAAAATAACATACATGCCGTTCAAATAAACTATAGTCCATTTGCTGTACTTTGTATACGAAATGCAAGTCATATATCTTGGGGATAACGAGAGGCTATAATATATTATATAGCCTCTATTTACAATAAATAAAAAATGAAAAGGTGCATGTTTAAGACGCTCATATATACAGGGTGACTCTCGTAGATATGGCATATTTACACATAATTTAATCGTACATCGAAAGACTATATATTTCGATTGTATCCGGTCGTCGTCAATCAACTGCAGCATGTATACACATATTTTATCGAAAATTCGTTCACCTGCTTCGCACGACAGTAATTTTTTTTCTAAAATTCACTTCGCCCCCACACGGTATTTTAGGTAGGTTCCTATAGTTATTGCGACCCGTGTTTAACAACAGTTCCGTCGCAGCTGTTTTGGGTCGCAGCGGCGCTATAATAGATATGCGCGCGGATAACATCGACGCACACGGCACACCTGTTACAATATTTTTAGACGGTGGATAATCACCTAGTCGGGGATAACTGTTCAGTATAGGTCTTCGTGCTATACGCGCGGCTAAAACAATAGGGTAGTAAGTCGCTGAAAGTTACGCAAGTAAAAAATAAAATAAATAATATAACAAACACACAGACTCATATATACGACACGTCACGCACACACATACGCGCGTGCGTCTTATATACATAGTCGGTATACATTGTCTTTGTCCTCTATTTGTACAAAGGCGAGATGATATATATATATATATATATCATATATACGTAAATTTTTACCGAGCAACACGAGCTCGGTATCTTATTGCGCGCGCCAAACCCGACATATCCATATAAGGGCCAAATGCATTAACCTCGCGACGACAGCAGAACAAATAGAACAAAACGCCCCTGTTTGTATTTAAATCGAGTATCCCTTTTTCTTTATTATTATTACTATTTTTTTTCTTATCTAACTTTACTCTTTATTTCTCTTTCTCTCGCCCTTCACTCGTGCTGAACTCTTCTGCCTGTACCACTGTATCCGCCGCCTTGTCTGTACCATTCGTTTAAACTTAATATCATATCATAGTTTTATATTTTATTAGAACGTTTCGTACGACGTCTTTGGCGATGTCAATTAAACGTAAGGAAATTCGCGTACTCACTGCAATATTATTTACACACACAGTCAAACCGGTTGTTACCTTAGAAAATTCGATATAACGCATCGCCACCGACTTTGTCGTCCTCATATCTAATCCTTGCGCAAAGTAGTTTTTATTTTTTTAACGCAATACCTATATGATCACCCTTGCGTATATATATATATCACGTACAATGATAAAACACCGTCGTTTATGAGTATAATTATATATATAAAAATAAAATAAAAACAAACACATTTTACGATTACACTCTGCGAACATAATGTCCACAATCGTTTTTTTTTTTTTACATAGAAATGTGTCTGACACAAATGTATATACTTTTATATTACACACCACGTGATTTGATTGGCAAGTTTATACTGTATAACTGTGTCGTACCGTTGAAACTAATAATTGATACAATATAAGTATCGAAAGTAAAACTATATTATTATTTCGTGTCTGGTATAAATATTCAGAATATTTTAAAAACCAAACGGATGTCTAATAAAACAATAGATGGTAATCAAAATATCTCTTGTTCGACTGTGTTATTTGCTCGTTTCAATTAAAAACTATACACATTAATAATATTGATAAGATCTTCAACAGTAATCGTTCTCCGGTAACATAAAAAAACACACTACCGTATATAATAAAAAGTGATATATTCATTGATATAGTATAATACGGTTTTTTTTTTAAACCATCGTATAAGCGATTGATTTTGAAATGTATCTGGATATACACATAGTGGAGTTCGATTTCAATATATTATTATGCGATCGGAAACTCGATTCTACAAAATAATATAACTATAAAATTGCCGGCTAACAATTATATGTTGTTGTATAATAATATAAACTTGTTTGCATACTGATGAGCTTATTATCTTATTTAAATTTGCGATAGGTGGACATACGTGAAGGGTATCGTGCATGACAATAATAGTTGAATTTATTTAAAAGGATCAGACGTAATTGGTATTATTTTCTCTTCAATGCGTAACTCTACTTAGGTACATATATATGTACACTAGTTCCTGCCGATTTCAACTCGAATTCCCAAACAAACCAATCGTTTCATATACTTAAAAAAAAAATGTATCAAATGAGAATAGTACAATATGTTTAGTAGTACCTGCATAGTGATTAGTGATATGTACATAGATGATTTAATATCAAATGTTAAATACATCGATTAGATCAATCGCAACTCTCATGGCATTAGTACGGTTGTATCTTGAGTGTATATATTTGATTTTGGACACTAATCGCAGACACAGTATTGTGGCAACAAAAAAAGGCATTTCCTCATAAATTGTTTTAATATATTCAACGAGATATAAACGCGATTCAACACGTTCGACTTCTCGTATATAAGTAACGGTCGTCACAGCTTGACGATGCTCGTGTAATGACGAGTACATTATTGTTTTAGCGCTTACGGGCAGACTTTATAATATAATATATTAATATGTACAAAACGAACATTTGAAACGCACCGAATTGTCAATCTTCTCGTCGACGTCAGCACCGTCCAGTCTCATGATTTCGTTATTTTTTTTATCCGGTCCCGTAATCGTTTCGACCGAAATGTTATTTTTATTTTCGACACACAGTGAAAACTCGTAAAAATATCGTAATAATATTGTACCTATATGTACGCGCGTAATATTTACGTATAATATAACCAGCTATATTATATGATTTCGGCCAGCTGTGAAAATAATAAATAAAAATGAAAAAACGCTTTTCGAACTCGAAGACGTTTAAAAGTCCACCGCCGCCACCACATAAAAAGATAAGAAGGCGGTTGAGCGGTTTCTTACCATATATATTATATATTATTATAGTGTATAATATAGGTATATAAAACGCTGCATATCGATATATATATATATATCGTAAGAGGCGTTGGCCGAGGCAAACACGGTGCGTACACACCAACAGACCAACATTGGAGTTCATAGGTCACTTCGACTCGTTATGTTTTATGGTTCTGGTTACATTTTGCGTTTTTTTTTAATCTTAATCCTTTTTCGCGCGCTCTGACCGCAACTCAGGTAATGTTATTAGGTATATAGGCATACTTAAACGTGTCTTTTACTTTTGCCCCCCACTACCAATATATACAAACACATTTGCACACACACACACATATACGAATATACACACAAGTATGCTCGGCATGGCTCCTCCGGAGTGGGTTTTTATTTTTTTTTTTCAATTTGAATGTTCGCGCTTCTCACTTGACTACCAAACGCTGCCGCCACAGCCCCCCGCGGGGCATAAAGGATCCGTGGGCGCGGCTCCTGCTGGTGACAACAAGCCTTCCGGCATGTCCTTTATTTTATGGCTCGAAAATAGTTGTTGTTTCTTTATTTTATATTTTCGGTAAATTTTTTATTTCGTTTCATTTCTGTTTTTTTTCCCCAATATTATCGCAGTTCGAATCGGAACATATCTAACCGTCTTAAAAATCCGTCGTACATAAGTTCGGAAGACAACATAATAATTTTGTTCAAACTTGTTTTTCTCGAATTTTTATCAATTTTTCTAAAATAAAATCACGGAGTTTGTGTGGCTTATTAAATCTCGTATCTCAAACGCGACAACAAAAAGTTCAGATCACAAATATTTAAAACGACACGCGGTCGAGATACCCATCTCGCATCGACTTACAGACATACAGATCTCATATTATACATAAAATAACTCACTTTTTTTCTGTAAATACCTTCCATCAGTGAGCGTATTTTTACACGAAAATTGTTGTTTTAAATTACTCTAGCGGCGGTGACGACGGACGGCTACGTTGTTGATGAGGAAGTATCATCAGATTTATTAGGAATTTGGTTTTTTGAAGCTCACTCGCAAATCATACGTCATACACGTGGTCGGTGTTATAGTATATGTGTACAAATGTTTAGTATTAATATTTTAACTTGATGTAGAACCGAAATTATACCCTTGCACTTTACCTACTGTTGTGTACTATTGTTAAGTCATGCACAACGGTATTACAAATTGTTTCGCTATGTAATAAAATAGTATACACTACCGCGCATACGGCATACCCAATAATGTCTGTAGGTATAGGCCATCGGGAACTGAAGGAATACACTCTCAAGGTCCGAGATTAATTAAGACGCCCGGCCGGATCGGTTCGGTTGGATAGCGCAAGGTTATAGACGAGTTGCACAACCGTCATAATATATGGACCCGCCGTCGTATAGATGTATACACACCTATATATATTT